CGCCCTCGACCTCGAGGGAGGCCTGCCTCCAGCGTTCTAGGAAACTCCGAAGGGTTTCCTCCTTCTGTTGTCTCACGTTCAGGAGGTGGGAGAAGTGCTTCTTTGAGCGATGCCTCCCAGCAAATTGCGTAAGGAAGCGGTGGGCAAGCTCTTGCCAAGAATCAATGCTGCCTTCGGGCAACCGGTTGAACCACTCATACGCGGGTCCCTCCAAGGTGGAAAGGAACCAACGGCATAAGTATTCATCCGAGGCCCCCATCATCATCATGCTATTTTGATAGCGGCTATAGTGTTCTTGGGGATCCGTCTTCCCTTCATACGGCTTGATAGGTTGCCCCCGATATTTGTGGGGGATTCTGGCCGCCAACACCCTTGGGGTGAAGGGTGTTCTAGTGCGGAGTTGAATGAGGGGCTCGCCTGAGCCTTCGGCAAGCTTACGCTTCATTTCCTCCACTTGCGCCCGGAGGTCAGCGTACTCTGGATCTGGCCTCACCGTGGACGCCGTCGGGGGTACCTGACGATTCTCCTCAAGTTGACGGAGGAGGGCTTCAATGATCTCGTCCTTGGGATCCTTCGGGGCAACCCCTTGGGAGTTGGCCCGGAAGGACTGCGCCTGATTGATTTGGTGCCTGGCGTCATCGGCATGGAGGAGGGCTTTACCTTTGCTTCGGGGGGAAGGCACGCCCTCGGCTCCCGAAGCGGAGGCACCACTCTCCTGTGGCCTACTATATTCTTGCTTGCCGAGGCGGTCTTGGACCCCTCGGCGGCCGGGAACTCCCCCAAGCCTCTCAAGTGCAGAGGTTCGGGGTTTCTCCTTCATCATGGGGCGCTTGTCCCTGGACTGGGCCTCCTGGGAGGCGGTATCCTGTGCTATGACCCCCTCGGCGTTGCCAATCCCCGGGGTAGGATTGTTGAACAGAGGAGGGAGTGGTGGCAATTGAATAATATTTCCCCCAGCGTAGGGCTGAAAGGGAGCCTGAGAGACGAGGGCTCCGGAATTGAGAGCCATGTTTTGGACAAAAGGCCGCAAAGGCAGCCTGAAGATCGATGGCCGGGGCCGGAGGGGGAACTTGGTTCTCACTCCGATCCCTCCTTCGATTATCAAGGCCAATGCGGGCATCAGGGGCGTTCTTCTGCACCTGCTGCCGGAGGTCAGCGGTAGCTTGCTCCAATTCAAGGATGATACCACCCTCGGGTACCAAGAGCCTGTTGGAGGCCTCGGCCCCGTTGGTTTCGCCGGGGGCTACGTGGTTCTCCTCAAGGGTTTTGGACTGGGCACGGGTGGTTCTTCCCATTTTTGGTAAGTGTTTTGTGTTTGGTAGAGGGGGAGGGTTTCTTACTTGATTGTTCAGACCTCTCAACGAGAGCACCAAATGATGGATAGTCTACCCGGGGGGTTTCTTATCCGAGGGGTTATTGCGGGAATAAGTAGAGAGAAGTCAGAGCAAATAGGAGGAGAGAGAGTTGATTCTATTAAATGAACTCAGCGTGTGGAGTTGAGATGTAGATGATGTCGATTACAAGGAGAAATGGGCTGCTATTTATAGCAGCAATAAATGCGATGGGAGTACACGTGTCAGTAATCCAACGGCCGAAGGGTCACATCAGCCGGTTGGCACCGGCAGTGGTACGTCCACCGCATTGAATGCGGTTGGCGGACGTGACGTGGCATTAAATGCGGTGGTTGGCTGTCCCTAAAAGGAATCTTCGATGATTGAGTGTGCTTGGCCGAGGGCTCCTCGTGTTGCCGAGGGCTCCATGTAGCCAAGGATCCCTGTGTAGCCGAAGGCCCTGTGTGACCGGAGGCATGGTTTAGCCGGGGGCTTCTCTGATGCCGAGGGCTCGATAATGCCGAAGGCTCATGTTTTTCGCCGTTTTCTCCCAGTAGCCTCTTATGCCAGAGAAGGCTACCCTGTGAGGTTTGGAGCCTTCGGCCAAGGAGGCCGAAGCACCCCAGTGCGTATTCTGGGCTACGTTGAGGCTTGGGCCGCTGCATTTTGGGCCTGAGTTGTTCCCTGGGCCCAATGAACTTGTGTAGGAGAAGTAGGAGTCTATGGGCCGGGGGTTCCTGGGCCATATACTCCATCAAATAATAATAATAATAATAATAATAATAATAATAGTAATAATAGTAATAGTAATAGTAATAATAATAATAATAATAATAATAATAATAATAATAATAATAATAATAATAATAATTTATAATAATAATAATAATAATAATAATAATAATAACAATAATAATAATAGTAATAATAATAATAGTAATAATAATAATAATAATAATAGTAATAATAATAATAGTAATAATAATAATAATAATAATAATAATAATAATAATAATAGTAATAATAATAATAATAATAATAATAATAATAATAATAATAATAATAATAATAATAATAATAATAATAATAATAATAATAATAATAATAATAATAATAATAATAATAATAATAATAATAATAATAATAATAATAATAATAATAATAATAATAATAATAATAATAATAATAATAATAATAATAATAATAATAATAATAATAATAATAATAATAATAATAATAATAATAATAATAATAATAATAATAATAATAATAATAATAATAATAATAATAATAATAATAATAATAATAATAATAATAATAATAATAATAATAATAATAATAATAATAATAATAATAATAATAATAATAATAATAATAATAATAATAATAATAATAATAATAATAATAATAATAATAATAATAATAATAATAATAATAATAATAATAATAATAATATTAATAATAATAATAATAATAATAATAATAATAATAATAATAATAATAATAATAATAATAATAATAATAATAATAATAATAATAATAATAATAATAATAATAATAATAATAATAATAATAATAATAATAATAATAATAATAATAATAATAATAATAATAATAATAATAATAATAATAGTAATAATAATAATAATAATAATAATAATAATAATAATAACAATAATAACAATAATAACAACAACAACAATAATAACAATAATAACTACAACAACAACAACAACAACAACAACAACAACAACAACAACAACAACAACAACAACAATAATAATACTAATAATAATAATAATAATATCAATAATAATATTAATTATACTAATTACAATAACAACAACCAGAATAATAATAATTATAATTATTATAAATATTATAATTATTATAATTATTATTATAATAATTATTATTATTATAATAAAAAGGATAAATCATGTCTGAACTTTTCTGATCTGATCTGAATCTTCCTGATCTGATCTGAATGTTCCTGATCTGATCTGAATGTTTCTGATCTGATCTGATCTAAATCTTTCTGATCTGATCTGATCTGAATTTTTCTGATCTGATCTGAATAAAATAAGAATAAGTAATAAGTAATAAGATTAAGACGAACAGAACAGCACCTTAGTTTTAAAGAAGGTAACGAACTTTTAAATTGACAATTGAATTATATTACTCCGTAAGAGTTTTTGCCACTTTTGATCCTCTCAGTATTATGTCAGTGACACTTTTAGTACACGACTTTTAATTTTTCCATTTTTAGTCCACCGCTATTATGCGAGAGACACTTTCATGTTTCCCACATTTAGTCCTTTAATTATTATCAAATTGACACTTTTAGTCCTTCTACTATGATTTTGACACAATAAGTGGATGACTCCATTGCAATAGTTGAAGGACCAAAAGTGTCACTTTTACAAAACCCGAAGGACTAAATACGGAAATTTTCAAAGACGGGTACCAAAAGTGTCTCTCGCACAATAGTCGAAGACTAAAAATAGAAAAATTAAAAGTCGAGTACCAAAAGTGTCACTGACACAATAATCGGGGACTAAAAGTGGCAAAAGTTCTTATATTAACTTTTAATTCAGCGATTTTATCAAGTTATCATATCGCATGCGCAAGTTATTACTTGTGCGCAAAGTCTTATTATTAGTATCACGTACTACGTATATACAAGTATTTGGGAATTGGCGGAGTTTTAGCTTCTTTGACTAAAATCAGCTTCTTTAACTACTCCAACAGTCAATAATTTCGTTTGGCAATTAGATGTTCTGGTGAGGCTCAAGAAGCCGAAAGTGAAAACGATGGGGTGACCAGCGTTTTGGTATTCATTAATCCATTTATGCCCTTCAATCATTATTTCCGAGCTTTCAATAATCTGGCCTCTAATTTTCCCTTCACCCATAAATCACCACCGTCACTATTTCCTCAGGGAAACGGCAAACTCATGGCATCACACCAACAACTAGAAAATTTTCGAGATTCTACTATATGGTTTCATTCTTCAATAGGAGCAAAGAAAGAAAAACATGGAAAGAATTAAGGTGCGACCAATAGATCGAAGAAGGGACTGCAATCACCGCACTTTTAAATGTTTTCTAATAGAGCATAAAGTTGCCATCGAAAATTAAAAGATTCGAACAAAAGTGCAGAATGAGAAAAACAAACGGGGGAGTGGAGAGGTGCTGGAATAGAGACGCGAGGGATAATCAAACGAAAGGCAAAAAGTTAAAATCAAAACAAAGAAAAAGAGAAAAACCAATTATATTTATTTTAATTTGTTTGATTCTTATTTTTATTTTATAAGTAATTTTATTTATAGCATGGTTATTATAAACAATTAAACAAAATAATAAATACATACTAGTGTCCTTGTATGTCATTTTACACTCTAACAGCTATTCATAAACAGCTAATTCATAACAAGCTAACATCATCAATCAATCAAAACATCTAATAGAAGCAGCTAATGATAAACAGCTAACTCAGTCAGCTAACATCCAACTTTAACATCCATTTGCCAAACAAGGCTTATATTTAAGTTTGAAAAGTCAAACTCCCCCTATAATATATTTGCTATATTTTTTAAATGCAACTGATAACCGCTTTCGCGGCGTTGTAGTAAAACGGAGTCTAACCTTTCGGTTTTTCCCCGAGTATCGTGTCTCTCGAGGAATGGCGGAGGAGCTTCTTGATTTCAAGTCCAGTCACAGGTTATCGCAAATTATTGGAAGCTTTCCAAATTAAAACTTTTGATTGATTTTCTAAACTACTTTTTGGAAAAGAAAGTAAATTAAATTGTGCAAATACTAATGATGGCTCAAAAATAGACTAAAGGAAAAAATATAATATTAAACTTAAATGGATTGGTGCAAATAAGGGCAATGAATTGAGTAATTAGAAATGGATATATTCTTGGACCTAGTAATTAGGGAAATTAAAACTAAAATTGGACTAATAATTTCTTTCCTCATAGACAAGAATAGAAACTATTTTCATTAATTTATCCTATTTCTAGGTGTCATTAATGTGTTCAAAAATGGTTGGCTTGAATTAAATTCTAACCTCATAGACCAGGTAGAAATAATTCTCCAATATTTTAATTAATAAAAATAGCCGAATTCATTAACTAGTTAAACTCATTATTTAAGCAATTGAATTTATCTCTCATAGACAAGATGTAAATCCCTTTCATTAAATTATCCTATTTCTAGGCCTTATTAATGTGCTTGAATATGGTTGGCTTAAATTATTTTCTAATCTCATAGACAAGTTAGAAATAATTTTCCGAGAATTTAATTAATGAATATGGCTAACAATTATTAATTACTATTTCATCATTTCAAACAACTAGTCCAAATTATTAATTTTAATCCCTAATTTTCGGTCAACAAGTCAATCCATATTCCTTTAGTCAATTCATGCCCAAAACCAATTAGCTAATAAACATCATTTTTTCATTTAACAATACAATGAATAAATTCAACATTAACAAGGAATTAAGCATGTATAATAGCAAAAATTAAACAAAAATAACATTCTTCCAAAATAAACATGTAGAACTAAAATATCACCTTCTGGAATTTTTCCCGAATTTTATAACCTAAAATCCAATTTTAACAACTAATTGATAATTTTCCCAATATTAACTAGAAAATACAAAAAGCAACTACAAATATTCTAAATTCGTTCTAAATTTTATATTGAATACTCGGAGTGATATTACTGTGAATTTAACTGGAATTAGGACAGAAACTAATTTTTTTCCTTTTTTGAGTATTTAATTTAATTTATGCAATAATAACAACTAAATGCCGGAATTAATTAAAATTTACTTCTACTTCATAAAAATTAACTTTGTTTTGATAAATAACTACCTTGAGGCTAGTAAACAACTATATAATTAATTGGAATGGATTTAATGTCAACAACTATTTTATTCAAATTTAAGACGAAAATGCGAAATAGTTGAATAATTTTCTGGAAATTTTAGAAGCACAGATAAAAAAAACTAAGTACAGATTCAGATTCTACTCATTGAAAGGATGAAAATACATATAAAGAACTCACAATTTGGAGCTAAAATGAGAAAGATATGAAAGATTGAAGTTGAAGGTGCAACAATGGTGGAAATCCGAGCTTTGAGGAGGAAGAAGACGCCCTTTTTGATCTGATTTGGGCTTGAAATTGGTGTGTTTGAGATGGGGAAAAAGCCTGCTATTTATAGCAGAAATTTCACCGAAGGCGCCCAAGACGGCGGCCGCCTTCCGTCGGAATCTGGCCGCCTTCCGTAGGCGGCCAACCAGGCGGCCGCCTTTGGTCTCATTTTGGCCGCCTTCCGTCCCATCGCCGACAGCGGATCGTGGCCGGTCTCGTCAGCCGTAGGCGGCCACAGAGGGCGGCCGCCTTCCGTCACAAATGGCCGCCTGCCGTCTTTTCGTTGGCAGATCGGATCCCGGCGGATCCCGGCCGCCGCAGGCGGTCCAACAGGCGGCCGCCTGCCGTCCTGTCTGGCCGCCTGCCGTCCTGTCTGGCCGACCGGTGGTTGGTTTTGTCCCCTTGTGCCGCAGGCGGCCACCGTAGGCGGCCGCCTTCTGCCCAGTGTCGGCAGCCTTCGGTCTTTTTCTGGTCTCGAGTCAAAGCGAGGTTGACTTCTGATTTTTCCCGTAGGCGGCCGCGAAGGCCTCCATTTTGGGCGCCTATTTGGGCGCCTTCTGCCACTTTTGTCTGGCAGATGCGGCTTTTCCTGCTCTTCATTTTTGTCTTCTGAATCACCTTGATAAAATGCCTCCTTCTTTCGGTATGATATCATTTGTTGCTCGAATTGGCTCATTTTGTGCTCAATTGACCCGAAATTCCGACAAACATACGATGAATGTGGTTTTCACCTGATTTCATAAAATTTGAACCAAAATATCTAAAACATGCCTTTTCTTTCTATTTTCAATCAAAAATCGCTTAAATTTGATAAGAAAAATAAGTACAAAAATGGACTTATCAATCTCCTCACACTTAAGCGTTGCTTGTCCTCAAGCGACGAATTAGTTGGAAACACACTCAAAAAGGGAAAACCTGACTATATCACAATCGAATTGCTATTAAAGAAGTAGAAACAAAAACCTCTTCTTTTTATTCTCAATCTTTAAACATTTTAGAAAAATCACCCAAAATACAAGAGTTTAAAATTAGTATTACTTACGAAAAACTATTTATTATGTTAAACCACCAATCAATTCCTTATCCCAAGATTTTCATTATTCTAATTTGGACATTCATCTTGTTCACCATTCTTTTTTTTTTTTTTTTTTTTTTTTTTTTTTTTTCACTCTTGTTGGCGGTGTTATCCCATGGTAAATGCATATTTCATTCTCACAGACTGTGATTAGCGAATGAAACAGAGCCCCTTTTCGGAGATGGAATTGTCCTATAACAATGAGTTTTGAAGAGGTTTATTAATAGTAACATTTTTTTAATGAATAAAATGAATGTCCAATTAAAACAAATTCAGACCTTTACATTCGCAACCAAAAACCCATAACAATTTTAAGTTTTCAAAAATAATAATAATAGTAAATTCTTATAATAAGGGTGATTTTCTAAACTATTTTGTGAATTGATAACAAATTGAGAAATTAATGTTTCATATCAAAAATAGTAAAAAGATTGTTCTAAAACAAGGTTTTGACTTTTGAGTGTAAAACGCAACCTCCTCACACTTGAGCTGGACCTCGCCCTCGAGGTCTTCTCTTGAGGCACAAAATTGGGAAATAAAGGCACATAATATATTTTTTTTTTTTTTTTTTTTTTGGTTCTTTCCTCACACTTGAGTTTTGCAAAGATTTTGTGAAGAGGAATAATGAAACAGGAGAAAAAATGGTTTTAAAAATCCTTACATCATCCATAGTCAGTTTGTAAGAGCATTCAAGTCAAAAGAGCAGCGCAATGTCCAACCTGAAGAACAAACAAACATGATAAAAATGTTAAGGAAGAAGCAAATCTAAACATCGCCTGCGCCATCCTGGGGGCCATAGTGTGGCCTAAGCCAATCTCTCATCTCATCAATATCTAGCCTCTGGGTCTCTAGCTCCGCCTGCATATCCTGGGTGGCTCTCTCCTGAGCTAATCGAAAGTCTCTGAACTCTCCCAGGGCCGTCTCATGCGCATCTCGCATCTCCTGGAACCCTCTGTCCTGTGCAACCCGCATCTCTGAGACTGAGGTCTGTAGACTCCTCATCCCATCCATCATCGCTCTCCAATCTGTGGCGCTAGGCATGTATGAAAAGGGCTTGCTAGATCCCTCATGTCCTGAGGGTCGAGAAGAACTACTCTGCTGGGTCGGCTGCTCAATACCTGGGAGCTCCTGAGTATTCCGCTTCTTCTTGATCCTCATGTTGGTAAAGGATGAGGATCGAAGAACGCGGATGCTCTCCTGTAAATGTGATAGCCCTGGAATGTCTAGATCTGGGTAGAATGATCTAACGAGGGTAGTGATGAAAGGCCCTGCCTGGATAGTGCGCCGCACAGTCTTCCCCTGGCTCCGGAAGAAACGAGCCATAAGGACAGCCATATTCACCGGGATGCGGTGAATCAAACTCCAAAAGAATAGTATGTCCTTTTTGGACAACCTGTTTGTGTTGTTAGGTCGTCCAAAAAAACCACAAGAAAGTACGAACGAGAGTATGTACCAGTGAGTCTCCCTCCATTTGTTCGAATGGGGGTGCATCCGGAGAAATGATCTGGTGTCTGTGGAGTGTCTGTGCCAGAACTCATCAATGTCAAATGCCTCGGGTAAGCGGGTCGGAAGAGCACGGAACTCCTCAGTCTGTGTGTATGCTGGGGTATAGAGCCCCATCCTCCATCCGAGCTCAGCCACAGTGATGGAGTGCTCCATGCCTAGAATAGTAAACCTCATCCGAGACTCTGACCCAATAACAGCACCCTCCTGCACAGCCTGTCCGTAATGAGTGAACTGAACGGAGCACAGAAACTCCATCGTCAATGGAAGGCTGGCCCTCTCCTGAACGAATAGAATCCTCCGCCATAAAGAGTCTCCTAGCAGGGCATCAATGTCATCCCAGTACCCCCATTCCTCTAGCATCGTCGGGTCCAGGATCATGGGAGGAAGGAGTGTGCGGTATTGCCCCCATGCCTGGAAGCGTCTGCGATCAGCAATAGTAGCAAATGGGATATCAGGCTGAGGTGGCGGGTCTTCCCGTCCTAGTGGTGGCTCCTCGAAAATGGGATCGTCACGTCTTCCTCCAGACATCTGCAAGAAATAAACAAAGTAAAATATTTTTGGGTTAGTTTTTTTTTTTTTTTTTCTTTTTTTTTTTTTTTTTTTTTTTTTGGGTGGGTTGCCTCCCAATGAGCGCTTCTTTAACGTCACTAGCTTGACGAATGTCCTCCCTTGGTTCAAAATTTTTGGAGATAGAGAATCTCCTTGCTTTTTTCAATCGGGCCGCCATGGTAAAGTTTAAGTTGGTGGCCGTTGACTTTAAAGGGAGCCCCATTAGCATCTTCAATCTCAACAGTTCCGTAGGGGTAAGCTTTTATGACCTTGAATGGTCCGGACCATCTTGATTTAAGCTTTCCTGGAAAAAGCTTCAACCGGGAGTTGAACAACAGCACTTTATCTCCAGCATTGAAATCACGAGCTTTGATGTGTTGATCATGGTAGAGTTTGGCTCGTTCCTTGTAAAGTTTGGAATTATGAAAAGCTTGCGCTCTCCATTCTTCCAGTTCATTCAGCTGGTAAAATCGTTCCTTCCCTGCAGTATCCAGTTTAAAACAGACATTTTTCATCGCCCAAAGTGCTTTATGCTCGAGTTCGACGGGTAAGTGGCAAGACTTCCCGTATACAAGGCGAAAAGGTGTGGTTCCGATCGGGGTTTTGTAAGCAGTCCGAAATGCCCAAAGAGCGTCGTCAAGTTTAGTCGACCAGTCTTTCCTGGTCTGGGCAACAGTTTTCTCCAGAATGGACTTCAAATCCCTGTTAGCGTTCTCCACTTGTCCTTGAGTCTGGGGGTGGTACGCTACTCCGCTTCGATGTTGGACTCCATATTTGGCCAAAATTCTAGCCATTGGGTCATTGTGGAAATGAGTCCCTCTATCGCTGATCAAAACCCTAGGCACACCAAATCTGGTAAAGAGCTTTTTCAGAAAATTCACGACTACTCGAGAGTCGTTGGTGACACAGGCCTGGGCTTCAACCCATTTAGAAACATAATCAATGGCCACAAGAATGTATTTGTTTCCTCTTGAGCTTGGGAAAGGTCCAACAAAGTCGATGCCCCAAACATCAAATACCTCACAAGGTAAGATAAAGTGTTGGGGCATCTCATTGCGCCCAGAAATGTTCCCGATTCGTTGACAGTTATCACAAGAAGAAACAAATACATTAGCATCTTTAAAAATCGTGGGCCAGAAGTACCCACAGTCCAAAACCCGCCTTGCGGTTCTATTCCCTGAGAAGTGGCCCCCAGTAGGACCGCTGTGACAATGCTCCAGAATGTCCTTTGCCTCAGCTTCAGTAACACATCTTCTCACCACCTGGTCAGCACAAATTCGGAATAGATATGGATCATCCCAAAAATAGTGCTTTGCTTCTGATAGGAACCGCCTTTTCATGTGCCTTGTCAGTTCGGTAGGCTCGACTTTACCAACAAGGTAGTTGGCAATGTCGGCATACCACGGTGTTTGCTCCTTGGCGGAAATCGCCATCAATCTCTCAGCAGGAAAAAGCTCCTCAATTTCGCATTTTCCGAAAGTTTCTGCTAACTCGGCATCTAACCTCGAGAGGTGATCAGCTGCCTGATTAGCAGACCCTTTTCGGTCCCTGATTTCAATATCAAATTCCTGCAACAAAAGAACCCAGCGTAACAGTCTAGGCTTAGCATCATGCTTTTGGAGGAGATATCTAATGGCCGAATGGTCGGTATAGATAATAACCTTCGAAAGAATGATGTAAGTCCTAAACTTCTCTAAAGCACAAACAATAGCAAGGAATTCTTTTTCAGTGGTGGTGTAGTTGAGTTGTGGCCCTGACAGAGTTTTGCTAGCGTAGTAGATTGGGTGGAAGTTCTTGTCCTTCCTTTGACCAAGGATGGCCCCCACTACTAAGTCACTAGCGTCACACATGAGTTCAAAGGGTAAGCTCCAATCTGGGGCCACAAGCACAGGTGCATTGATCAGTTGTGTTTTAAGTGCTTGGAAAGCATGGTGACATTCATCAGAGAATATAAAAACCGCATCTTTTTCAAGTAACCGGGTGAGAGGTTTTGCGATTTTAGAGAAATCCTTTATAAAACGACGATAAAAGCCCGCGTGTCCTAAGAAGCTGCGGATGGCTTTTACCGTGGTTGGTGGAGGAAGTTTCTCTATTGTCTCAATTTTTGCACGGTCCACCTCTACCCCGTTACTTGACACTTTATGTCCAAGTACTATACCCTCTTTCACAAGGAAGTGACATTTCTCCCAACTTAGGGCTAAATGGGTTTCCTTGCAGCGGATAAGTACTTTTTCCAGGTTTTCAAGGCATTTTTCAAATGTTTCCCCAAAAATAGAGAAGTCATCCATGAATACCTCCATGAAGTGGCCAATGTATTTTTCAAAAATGGCAATCATGCACCTCATGAAGGTGGCAGGGGCATTACAGAGACCAAAAGACATCCTACGAAAAGCAAAGGTCCCAAAAGGGCATGTAAACGTAGTTTTGTCTTGGTCTTCCGGGTTGACATGGATTTGGAAGTATCCACTCATGCCATCCAGGAAACAGTAGTGACTATGGCCTGCCAACCTCTCTATTAATTGATCGATGAAGGGAAGGGGAAAATGGTCTTTCCGGGTGGCTTCGTTCAGTTTGCGGTAATCGATTACCATTCGCCACCCGGGTAACAGTTCGACTGGGTAGAAGTTCGCCCTTTTCATTTTTCATGACGGTCATTCCCCCCTTTTTGGGGACAACATGAATAGGGCTTACCCACTGGCTATCAGAGATGGGGTAAATGATACCTGCATCCAGCAGTTTGACAATCTCGGCACGCACTACTTCCATCATGTTTGGGTTTAAACGTCGTTGTGGTTGGACAACTGGTTTAAACCCTTCCTCAATTTTGATGGTGTGGGTACAAAAGGTGGGGCTAATTCCATTGATGTCCTCAAGTTTCCAAGCAATTGCTTGCTTGTGTGTCTTAAGGACTCCAAGTAATTTCTCCCTTTGTTCCTCACTTAAGTGTGCGGCGATGACGACAGGGCATTTGCCTTCGTCATCCAAGAATGCATATTCTAAGTGGTCGGGCAGTTTCTTTAGTTCGAGGGGGTGGTCGTTTTTCAAGTTTTGTTCATTTTTCTCCCCTTCAAACTCAGTCAATACTTCGTTAGAAGCTTGATCAATCAGCGCATCCTCACAACTCTCACATGCATCACTCACATCACTGTTGGCCTTTTTTAACAGACATGCCTCATCAGTTACATGTCCATTTTCTTCCCCAAACAGATACCCTTCAATAGACTCAAAGGTATCAAGAAAATGACATCCTTGAAAGGAATCCGTGGGGTGTTTCATAACATCTGAGAGTCGGAAGGTGCATAGATCATCTCCGACTCTTAGAGTTAATGAGCCATCAGTGACATCAATCAAGGCCCTGGCGGTAGCCAGAAATGGCCTTCCCAGAATAAGAGGTGTTTCCCTATCCTCTTCCATGTCCATTACTACAAAGTCGACTGGGAAAATGAATTTGTCAACCTTGACCAGGACGTCTTCAACAATTCCTTTCGGATATTTGACTGAGCGATCAGCCAGTTGAAGACACATCCTGGTGGGTTTCATTTCCCCAAGTCCTAGCTTCTCGACTATAGAGGAAGGCATCAGATTGATACTTGCCCCTAAGTCAGCTAGAGCATTATTGAAGTTGAAATTGTCTATAGAGCAAGGGATAGTGAAACTACCTGGATCCTTTAGCTTTTCGGGTATTGACCTCAGAACCACGGCCGAGCATTCTGCGTTTAAGTCCACGACTGAGAGTTCCTGCAGCTGCCTCTTGTTTGTCAGCAAGTCTTTGAAAAACTTGGCATATTTGGGCATTTCCGCTAGGGCATCCATCAGCGGCAGGTTGACGTGGAGTTGTTTGAGTAGGTCCAGGAATTTGTTGTACTTCCTGCTATCGTCATCATTTCTAACCCGTGAAGGAAACGGGAGAGAAGGTTTGACGATAGTGACCTTTGTGTTAGGGCGTGTTGGTTCCATGCTCTTCTCAGTTGGAGCATCAGTTTGTTTCTCAGGTTCCATGGTTGGGGTACCTTCCTCTTCCTCGTCTTTCTGCTCAGCCACGGTTGTTTGTCTCCCGCTTCGGAGAGTGATGGCTTGCACATGTTCACGGGGGTTTGGTTCCGTGGTGCTAGGCAAGTTGCCTGGCTGACGACCGGGAACATTGTTCTGATTAATTTGCATCATTAGATTTTTGATCTGATTGTCAGTGCTGGCCTTGTATCTTGTTATTTCCTCCCGTGTCCTTGCCAGTTCTGCTACCAACAAGCCTATCTCTGATGGCTGGGCAGCCTCCGTTTGTCGTTGGTGTGGAGGCACATAAGCTTGGTTGTTCTGTTGGGCTGGTGCACCTCCCTGGTTCCGACTCTGGAAGTTGTTCCCTTGATTATTGTTGGGGTAGTTTTGATTACCTTGATAACCGCCGCGAGGAGGACCATTGTTGTAATCCCCCCGCCATTGGTTACCTTGGTAATTCCTTCCTTGGAAATTCTGAGGAGGGTAGTTGGAGTTACCCCCCCGGTTGCCTTGATTCGCCCATGGCCCTTCTTGTTTTGTTCGGCCATACTCCAGCAGGTTCACCTCCCTGTTGTTGCTTAGATTACATTCATCAACTAATTGACATGAATTGGTCAAATGTGGACCAAAACATATCTCACAAGAGAGTACAAGTTCAGTTGAATGGGAAACAGGTGAAAAAGTATTAAATTGAGATGACTGTGGAGCAGAGCTTGAGTTCCCGAAGTATCGGGATGATTGTTGATTCGGGACAGCACCGATGTTGTTGACTTGGTTGGTGTGATTGTTTTCATTCTTCAGATTCTTTACTTCCACGACCAACCCTTCAATCTTTGCTGTTAAGGCCGTGAGTTGGTCAACTTCAAGATATCCTGGTTTTGTTGCTGCTGGAGTTCTTTCGTCATACCAGTATCTTGCATTTGAAGTGACCTTCTCCACCAGAGCTTCGTTGGTGTTGGGTGCCATGTCAAGGAATGATCCCACCTGAGAAGAGAAATCAAGTTCTTTTTTGCTACTAACTTGAAGTCCATTGTAAAAATGGAACATCAAGCTACTAGAATCCATCAGTGTGAGTGGACATTTGTTTCTCATATCCTTGAAACGATCCCATGCTTCACTTAAGGACTCCATCGGGAATTGCCTAAAGTTCTGGATTGCTGTTTTAATTTTAGCAACTGCCGATGGAGGAAAGTATTCTTGCATGAATGCTTGGTGCAGTGCCGCCCATGTTGTGAAGTGACCCGTTGGAAAGCTATTCAGCCACAAAGATGCCCTATCCCGTAATGAGAAGGGAAATAGGGTCAACTTTGCGGCGTCGGAGGTCACTCCGTTAAAGCGGAACGTTTGGCATGCTCGGGTGAACCACAACATGTGGGCCCTAGGGTCATCTTGCTTGGACCCGCCAAATTGATGGTTGGACATCATGTTGACAATGGCGGGTTTGATCTCGAAATTGGCTACCTCGATTGCCGGTGCGCTGATACTATCATCCTCGATGAAGTTTGGCGTAAGATTTTGCAACACCGTCCTTTCTCCCGCCATGCTTGGTTTCTTGTGGATTGAAAGATTTTTCCACAAAGTTCGTTCAGGTTCAGGATCAAGTTCAATTAGACCTTCCACTCCTTTAGAGCGGGTGTGCATTCATTTATCCTGAAATCTTTATACAAATTGTCGCAAGGGCGAAAAAGTCTCCCTAACTAGAATTCACCTATGCTAGAATTAAATCAAGAAATAATCGTGCCATTCCCCGGCAACGGCGCCATTTGATAACCGCTTTCGCGGCGTTGTAGTAAAACGGAGTCTAACCTTTCGGTTTTTCCCCGAGTATCGTGTCTCTCGAGGAATGGCGGAGGAGCTTCTTGATTTCAAGTCCAGTCACAGGTTATCGCAAATTATTGGAAGCTTTCCAAATTAAAACTTTTGATTGATTTTCTAAACTACTTTTTGGAAAAGAAAGTAAATTAAATTGTGCAAATACTAATGATGGCTCAAAAATAGACTAAAGGAAAAAATATAATATTAAACTTAAATGGATTGGTGCAAATAAGGGCAATGAATTGAGTAATTAGAAATGGATATATTCTTGGACCTAGTAATTAGGGAAATTAAAACTAAAATTGGACTAATAATTTCTTTCCTCATAGACAAGAATAGAAACTATTTTCATTAATTTATCCTATTTCTAGGTGTCATTAATGTGTTCAAAAATGGTTGGCTTGAATTAAATTCTAACCTCATAGACCAGGTAGAAATAATTCTCCAATATTTTAATTAATAAAAATAGCCGAATTCATTAACTAGTTAAACTCATTATTTAAGCAATTGAATTTATCTCTCATAGACAAGATGTAAATCCCTTTCATTAAATTATCCTATTTCTAGGCCTTATTAATGTGCTTGAATATGGTTGGCTTAAATTATTTTCTAATCTCATAGACAAGTTAGAAATAATTTTCCGAGAATTTAATTAATGAATATGGCTAACAATTATTAATTACTATTTCATCATTTCAAACAACTAGTCCAAATTATTAATTTTAATCCCTAATTTTCGGTCAACAAGTCAATCCATATTCCTTTAGTCAATTCATGCCCAAAACCAATTAGCTAATAAACATCATTTTTTCATTTAACAATACAATGAATAAATTCAACATTAACAAGGAATTAAGCATGTATAATAGCAAAAATTAAACAAAAATAACATTCTTCCAAAATAAACATGTAGAACTAAAATATCACCTTCTGGAATTTTTCCCGAATTTTATAACCTAAAATCCAATTTTAACAACTAATTGATAATTTTCCCAATATTAACTAGAAAATACAAAAAGCAACTACAAATATTCTAAATTCGTTCTAAATTTTATATTGAATACTCGGAGTGATATTACTGTGAATTTAACTGGAATTAGGACAGAAACTAATTTTTTTCCTTTTTTGAGTATTTAATTTAATTTATGCAATAATAACAACTAAATGCCGGAATTAATTAAAATTTACTTCTACTTCATAAAAATTAACTTTGTTTTGATAAATAACTACCTTGAGGCTAGTAAACAACTATATAATTAATTGGAATGGATTTAATGTCAACAACTATTTTATTCAAATTTAAGACGAAAATGCGAAATAGTTGAATAATTTTCTGGAAATTTTAGAAGCACAGATAAAAAAAACTAAGTACAGATTCAGATTCTACTCATTGAAAGGATGAAAATACATATAAAGAACTCACAATTTGGAGCTAAAATGAGAAAGATATGAAAGATTGAAGTTGAAGGTGCAACAATGGTGGAAATCCGAGCTTTGAGGAGGAAGAAGACGCCCTTTTTGATCTGATTTGGGCTTGAAATTGGTGTGTTTGAGATGGGGAAAAAGCCTGCTATTTATAGCAGAAATTTCACCGAAGGCGCCCAAGACGGCGGCCGCCTTCCGTCGGAATCTGGCCGCCTTCCGTAGGCGGCCAACCAGGCGGCCGCCTTTGGTCTCATTTTGGCCGCCTTCCGTCCCATCGCCGACAGCGGATCGTGGCCGGTCTCGTCAGCCGTAGGCGGCCACAGAGGGCGGCCGCCTTCCGTCACAAATGGCCGCCTGCCGTCTTTTCGTTGGCAGATCGGATCCCGGCGGATCCCGGCCGCCGCAGGCGGTCCAACAGGCGGCCGCCTGCCGTCCTGTCTGGCCGCCTGCCGTCCTGTCTGGCCGACCGGTGGTTGGTTTTGTCCCCTTGTGCCGCAGGCGGCCACCGTAGGCGGCCGCCTTCTGCCCAGTGTCGGCAGCCTTCGGTCTTTTTCTGGTCTCGAGTCAAAGCGAGGTTGACTTCTGATTTTTCCCGTAGGCGGCCGCGAAGGCCTCCATTTTGGGCGCCTATTTGGGCGCCTTCTGCCACTTTTGTCTGGCAGATGCGGCTTTTCCTGCTCTTCATTTTTGTCTTCTGAATCACCTTGATAAAATGCCTCCTTCTTTCGGTATGATATCATTTGTTGCTCGAATTGGCTCATTTTGTGCTCAATTGACCCGAAATTCTGACAAACATACGATGAATGTGGTTTTCACCTGATTTCATAAAATTTGAACCAAAATATCTAAAACATGCCTTTTCTTTCTATTTTCAATCAAAAATCGCTTAAATTTGATAAGAAAAATAAGTACAAAAATGGACTTATCAGCAACGGTCCACTTTTCACGTTTACCAACGCACAAGTTTGATCATTAATATTTTTCATACTTTATTAGTTATTTTTTTTAAAAAAAAAATAGATTTTGAAACTTTTAAATGAGAGGAATTTAACAATATTTTTTTAAATTAATTTATAATATGTTAATAAATAAAATAGAGTCAAATTAGAACATTTGAATATTGGAAAAAGTTCAATGTTGCATTTAAAAAAGAATTTAGATTAGTTGGGGTGTGTCGTAGTGTACAGTACATTATTCGTATATGTATTTGTACTTTTAATGCATAAGGTATTTTTGTACATACTAATTTTAACCCTATTATTTATTTTTAGTGTATAACCACCACACGTATATAAATGTTTAAGTCAAACTTGTGACACTTCCAAAGAGGATGTCACATGTTCGAATCTCATCCCAGTTCAAAGATGTTAGGCTTAACAGAACAGATACTATAATAGGTTAGAAAGTTTTGCCAAAATAAAACCATCACACGTATAAAAATGTTACTTCTATTATTTAAGTCAAAATTATTAATTTGGTTATAAAAATGTCACTTCTATAAATAAATATTTTTATCCGACTAAAAATGTCACAAATGTTAAAACTTTCATAAATGTCACTTTCGTAACGTCTTATTTGATAATAAAATTATATATTTTATTTTATTTAATTTTTTTGAGGTGTCACAGTATGTGTCACCCCGGAATTCACGCTGTTTGCTACGATAATAATCGAGCCGCTGCGTTTTAATCTTAATATATATAAGTCAACTATGTATTGCTGAAAGAGTCGGCTAGAATGCATGACAAACGAGGGGTTCTCATGACGTAATTGCAACTTGTATGTGTAATACTGCCGACAAGAAACTGAATGCCTTTTCTTGTCCGCATTAAGCAATTGTTCCTCTCCCGATATCAGCGATTCGTCTATTTCAAAACGGTTGCAATTAATGGAAAGTGAGTTTGCAGGGGCTGAACCACCTTGAAGCATGTCAAAAGTCAACGGGGCCTTTGGGAATCCCTTCGGGCCAGCCCACTTCCCCCCGCGGGAACAAATGCAGATATTGCAGGGGGTCATAACAGCCATAGTAGTACTGGATGTTGTGAGACCTTGCGCTGTGGGCGTAGACACGAATGTTTTTGCTCGAACCCACACCTTCATGCCCTTCCTCAACCCAGGCAGCAGCAACCTGAGATGATGTTGTGCGATTGTAAACACGTTGACCAAGACGAGGATTACCGTTAAGGATAATGGGAAATTCGCCCGTCTGATCTACATCAGAAAGTGTTTTAAAGAATTGTGCATACGAGTTTGCACACATCGCTTCCATCAATACCCAAACCACATCTTTGTCTAGCTGATCCGTTGAGTCCAGCCTGCTAGCAAGGGCGTGGTCTGTGTTGTAAAAATATAGTTGAAGATTTCGAGGTGGACAGCCATCAGGGGGCAAGTAATTTATGAAGTGGTATATCTGACCCTGAACCCTAAACGTATATATCCCTTGGTTTCGTCGACAAAGACTCTTATCGTAGTTGTAGATCTCAATGGATGTGAAAGCAAAAGTATTGTTGTACGTGCGCACACATGATCAAAAGTGTTTTGATAAAGGGTCATGCACCGTGAATAATCGAACCAGTTGCTCTGGCATTTCAGTTGAGGTCAGAGCGACCTCATCCCTGTTGCAGCACATACTTGCAGCCTCATAGTGAAGACGTTCAGCGCCACAAAACAAACAATCAGGAACATCCTGCAGGCGGTATGCGTCAGTATTAACAGGAGGCAATCTGCTGCACACCCCCCCCCACAGAGGTCTGCACAAAAACTAGCGTTGTCATCCACACACAGGTCAAGATGCCACCAAGGGAAAGCCAATTACGAACACGTATAATATACCAGCGATAGGATAACTAGTTTGGAAGTGATTTGGGTATAAATCGAGATGTGCATGGAAGTAATAAGCAGGTGGAGAGATGACCAGAACAATATGGTACACAGATAAAGGATGGGCAAGGAAGGGCAAGGAAGGGAAATATAAGTCGGATGTTTGTAGATTTGTGGACAATTATTTCAAGAGCACATGAAAGGCACGCGAAATACATTCCACCAAGGTAAAGAGAGAGTATTTCAAAGGCACAAATAAACATCAACAATGACAAGGCAACATATGTTTGGCAGGTTGTTTAGGTTGCAGAGAAGGGGTATTTGAGAAACAACAAAGAATAACAAGTTAGAACGTATCAGCAATAGGGGTTGGAGAATTGTGCATATAAAGAACCGCGCATATGTGGGGATAGACCTGAAGGAATTGCGCTGACGCAGACCCGATCACCACAGACAGCGGTACAAGTAAAACCACCACGACTACCCGCAACCCGTGTACTGTATGCCTGACGGCGGCATTTCAAATAGTAAAAAGGAAAAGGCGTACATAGATCATACGATGGAGCTTGAAGCCGTGCCAAAGATATTTTTTGTGTGTCAATCAGGCCGAATCCGGTCGTTTCATCTGCTTGGATTATTTTTCCAAGGAATTTGAAGTTCCGTTAGCCGAAAGAGAGGGAAGAAAATGGAAGCCTGTTAGGTCCCTGTTTTCTAGTCTATAATGTAAATGTATGGAAGATAGATCTGTGTATGAAGCTTTCCATTGATGTGAAGGTTTTACAGAATGATATGAATGTTTCAGCGTAAAAACCTTACACGGAAATAGGCTCTGCGGCACTAGGAAAGTTTCGAAAAGCTTAACCTAGCCTTTCCCTTAAGGCATATATATAGCCTGACGGGAAAGGTAGGTTTTACAATCATTTGGGCTCCTTTTTCTAGGAGGCCCATACCTAAAAAGGTATAAAACCTTTTATTACAAATTGCCTTAAAAGGCCTATTCATTATTCTAGCTAGTCTATTTAATTAAAATGCTAAATACAAAGAGCTAAGAAACATTGATCACAATATAATGAAAATATCTCTAACAATCTCCCCCTTTGTGATCAGATGTTCTTGCTTCTTCTTTTCTTCACTTCTGAGCTTTAAAATAATGCTTTCTGAGATTTAGTGCATGCTCGTAATTTCTGAGAGACCTTCTTCTGTCAAGTTGTTTTTCGATAGCTTTCAAGATTTTATTGACTCTTTCCAATTCTTTGATTTCTTCCTTCGAGGCTTCATTCTGTCTTTTATCTAACTCTTCTTTCCTTGGCTGGAGCCGTTCTCGGATGATTTGCAGGGTCCCATCACAGTATTTTTGAATGTCTTCAACAATCATCAGACGCTTCTCTTCTTTGTGATTCAGATAGATGACTGAGATGGGCTTGTCAAATGTATAATATGCTGTAAAGGTTTCAAGCCCAGGTCTATCCAAGTCCGGTCGTGTAAGATTCGCCTTTGAATAATTGTGCTCTAGAGTCATCTGGAGATCATGGGAGGCGTAGAACCGAACTTGTCTTGTCATGAATCTCTTTATGGCCTCAAAACCTTCTCTAGCAAGTCTGTCTTTGTGCACTGGGAGCTCCCTACATCTCATGAACATTTGATAAATATCATCCATGTGCAGTAGGAAGAAGTCATTCTCTTGACTGGTGAACTCCGAGCCATCGGTACGTCGTAGACGAAAGATCAGGAACTTAATCGTTTCTAAGTAGTCTTCTGTGATATCCAGGATTTTCGATATAGGACATCCACTTGTTGCAAGATTATGATTTAGAACTTGTCTTCGTTCCCCTGTGGATCTGTGTCCTAGCATATACAGGTTTCCTCCTCGGTATTTTCCTTTCAAGTGATTGATTCCTCGCATCTTTAATTCACTGAACTTCTTGATTTTTTCAGGTTGTCGCCAGATTTTCTCTCGGATTTCTTCTAGGAAGGGGGCTTTGATTCTAACAATTTCCCATTTTTCTTTGACTGGTTCTGGTGCCTTGGGATTTTCTTTATGATTCTCCCCTTCCTTGAGTTCATCTTTATCGAGTCCAATCATTTGTGCATGATATTTGTTGAGAAATTCTCTGAGTTGCCAGCTTCGACACATTTCGTACTGTTCTGCTTCCACTCTAAGATCATCCCACTCTGTCCACTCGCGAGGCCACTGATCATGAACTAGAAGGTCTTCCAGTTCATCTTGTATTTGATTACCAGAGGGCTTAGAGTGAGCTTGTTGTTGTGTCGAAGGCGACCTGTCATGTGAAACACCGGGATCCTCAGGATTGCCCGTTATCATCAGATTAGAACTAGGTTCTTTCTGATGGCCCGAATAAAATGGTGTACTCGACGTAGCAACCTCAGGACTTCCACTCCATCCTTGGTCTACATCTATGAAAGATGAGCCTAGGAGTGTTGTTTCTAGCTCGACCGGGCTAGATGTGGGTTGATTGGCTGATTGGCTTTTGTGTTGAGTGGATGGTGGGGGCTGATTGTTCGAGGATTCAGGTTGGTTGGATTGCGTAGAAGGTTGGCTTGTTGACGCATCACGCTCAAGTATCCTTTGTCTCTTGTTCTCCCCCTCATGAGGATCCGAGTCATCGGGGTCCTCATGCGAATGTTTGTGACCAAGGAAACTATCACGGCATGAGCTGTCAGGCTTAAGGATCCGAAGAAGGTCTTTTTGTTTCTGGGTTAGGTTGCCTTCTTCGGTGGCTAGTAGTTGATCTAGCATTAGGTTCTCGAGTACCTCGAACGGTAAAGTTTTAGGGTCAGGAAAAGGTGTGGTCGAAGTAGGGGATGACACTAGTTCTGTATCCTGGGTTCCCCTTGAAGCAGTAGGTGAGTGGGGTAGGGTTGTGGATGGTTCAGAGGTTTGTTGGGTAGGTATGATGGGAAGTGGTTGGGTTTGTTGGGTATGTGAGGATGATGGTTGGGATTGG